AAAACCCCATCATATGTCACAGAATAGAAATGAGATACGGATAGATCCACAGCAGTTGAGACAGCAAGAACCGGTCCTCCATAACTATACTACGAGAGAAGAATTCATACAAAATTCTAATAATGACCAACTGAGGGATGACAAAACAAACAGCTACTAGCAAAACTCAAAAACTGATGACAAAAAAAACAACTGCCAGCAACATCAAACACTTAATGAAACGTCTTCTTATAATGCTTTATATGAGCAGAGCAAGGAATCATCTCAAATAAGAAATGAAAGACTAAATGATCATGAAAAAGGAAAAGAGAAACAAATTTGTACACAGGCAGAGGAGCAAAGTCTAAGAGAAGTCAACAGCAAACCCATATCGAATATGGAAATTCATGAAAACAGCTCGACGACTCAGGAAGATCAGAGTATAAACATGAATACAAAGGAACACAATTTTCGTCTCAACAGCCAAAGAGGATGGCCTCCGGAGGTAACCCACCAAAAAACAACAGACAAAGAACGTGTGATAAAAACATCAACATTATAACATGTAATATTGAAGGACTAAAAACCAATATTGCATACCTGCACACGTTAGGGCTTTCGAAAACAATATTATGTCTTCAGGAACATTTCTTATGGGACTTTCAAAAGAAGGAAATAAAGATACTTCTCCCAAAGATGGATGATCATACAAGGTGTTATGACACAAACGACCCATTGGATAGCTTTAAATTGCCAAAAGGAAGAGGAGGGGGTATCTGTTCTGTGGCCCTCACAATGGTCAAGCAGAATCAAGAAACTGAAAGACGGAAATGAAAGGATAATAGCAATCCTTATAACAGCAACTAAGGATATCTGCTTTATCAATTCATATACTAGTATGCCAACAAATAATTCTGACTCTCTTTCAGAATATACAGAATGCTTGGACATTATATATGATATAATACAGAAATACGAAAATACGCATAAAATTGTACTAGCTGGAGATTTAAATGGAACATTACAAACATCAAGAACTAACAAACATGACAAAATGCTCAGGAATTTTGCCAAGAACATGAATCTGACAACTGGAGTCGAATTAGTAAACACTCACACATTCTTCCGTCATGCAGGCAACTCCTCATCCCAAATTGATTACATACTGGTTCAAGATGAAAATTTGGTAGAGGACTATACAATAGAGGAAAAATTATGTGCAAACACCTCGGCACACACAATTGTTAAAATGGAAATAGCCTCTCAAATGACAAAAATCAGATTATCGAACCAACAGAACAATTAATCAAAGTACAAAATGCAATGGGATCAAATTGACAAAAAGAGTTATAATAGTATCATTCAAAACAGTATAAGCTCCATAGAGAATGAAAAAGATGTAAACATACAGTTAGACATGTTAATGGAAGCAATGAATACTGCAGGGAAAAAAACAATTCCAACTAAATTGTTGCAAAGAAAAGGTCCAAAATTGAAAGCCTCTCCTGAAGTTCTTACAATTTTAAAAGCATGTAAAGAGATATACAAGAAATGGCAGAGTGTTGGAAAAACAAAAGATCATGTCTTAGCAAGTGAGCTAAAGAATGAAAAAAAGAAGTTAAGAAGCAAACTTAGAGCAGAGCAAGCATTGGACAGACAAAAACTATATCAGCAAATAATAGACAATCCCAACACACAGCTATTTTATAGGCTGATAAACAGAAGTAGAAATAACAATCGAACAACAACAACTTAAAATCAATGGTGAATACATGTTCCTACCAGAAGAGCAAAGAAAAGGTTTTGCACAGTACTATGAAGACCTAAGTATACCAAAAGAAGAACAGTACGACTGTAACTATTTGAATTTATGCAAAATTAGACAAAGCTGCATACAAGAGGCCTTACAGGAATGTACAGATATTTCAGAATTGTTTACAGAATCTGAAATAGAGAAAGCAATAGATTGTCTTAACACCAAAAAAAGTCCTGATGAATATGGAATCACAGCAGAACATTTAAAAAAGTGCAAAAGAAATTGTAACACCAGCTTTAAAATCAATATTTAACAACATCTTATTATATAGGAAGGTTCCAACCTCATTCAAATCCGGAATACTCACTCCAGTGCTTAAAAAAGATAAAGATTCCACTGAATTAGGCAATTATAGAGGCATAACAGTTACACCAGTTACAGGAAAAACATTTGAATACTCATTCCTAACCAAGCTGAATTTAGAATCAAAAACAGACCTCCAGTTTGGCTTTACAAAAGGTCTGTCACCAATAATGGCCAGTCTAATTATATCAGAAGCCAGGTATGAGGAAAAAAAAGGATCCGAAAATTTCTTTATTAATATTTTGGACATAAAATCTGCATTTGATGTAGTTCAGCATTAAATTCTGATGGACAAGATGCTGAATCAGGATATACATCCAGTATATTGGAAGATACTTACAGAACTCTATAATGACCTGACATCAAAAGTGAAATGGCTGGACGGTATCAGTACCCCATTCAAAATCAAACAAGGTGTGAGACAAGGAGGAATATTATCCACTCATCTTTACAAAGTTTTTGTTCAAGATTTACTTGTAGAATTAGAAGAAAATGCTCTAGGATATCACCTAGGAAATATATATGCAGCCACCCCAACATGTGCTGATGACATAGCATTTATCTCTAACAATGAAAATGAGCTTCAGATAATGCTAAACGTACTGAGCAGATATGCCAAAGAACATCATTATACTATACATCCAATGAAAACACAAACTATTGATTGCTCAAAGACAAAAAGCAACTATAAATGGAATTTAGGTGGAAATGAAATAAATACTGCTGAATCAGGTGTACATCTAGGTATTATAAGAGCTGAAAAGAATGAATGCCAAATAAATATACAAGAAAGAATACAAATTGCGAGAAGGACGAAATATGCACTAATGGGGTCAGGAGTCCATGGAACAAATGGTCTGGATCCTCCAACATCATACAATATCTATAAAACATATGTTGTACCAAGGCTTATATATAGACTCGAAGTATTATCCATGACAAAGGCAAATATTTAGCAACTTGAAAAATTTCACAGGAAAAATCTCCGGCATATACAATCCCTACCAGAAAGAACATCTAATCCAGCAGTCTTACTATTAATAGGAGCCTTGCCGATAGAGGCAGAAATACACAAAAGATGTCTATCACTCCTTTTATCTTTCTTAAACTGTGGAAATGATAAAATACATCAAATATTAACCAGACAAGTAACTACAAATTTTGACAACAATAAGAGCTTTTTTACAAGAATAATGGATATACTAGAAATGTATGGGCTGCCAAGCATCACTCAATTACAAAAGAACACACCAAAGAAAGAGCATTGGAAAAACACTATCAAGATAAAAGTGGATAAATTTTGGAATGAAAAGACCCTAGCTGATGTAGAAAACAAATCAAGTCTAAAATTCCTTAATACAAGCAATCTAGAACCAAACAATTTTCCACATCATGTCTGGAATGTTAAACAACTCCCACGATTCGAACTACGAAAGGCAATCATAAAAGCAAGAGTAATGACTGGGATATATATACTGCAAGCGGATAAATACAAATTCACACATTACAATGTGGAAGCAACTTGTCAACTTTGTTGCAGTGGTAATGAGGATGTGATACATTTCCTAACAACCTGTCCAATACTAAGTACAACAAGAGAAAAGTACTTCTCAGAAATAAGAGAAATCATCACCTATGAGATTACTGCAGAAAAGTGGAACAATGTCTTTAAAAACAAGACAGCAATTTCTCAGTTGATAGTAGACTGTACAAAATATAAAGAAGTGCTCAACAACTCTTAGACTAATAAATTAGTGAACATTATTGAGAACAAAACAAGAAACTTGATTTTTCAACTACATATGGACAGATTGAAAATTCTGGAAAAAAATAATGAATAAGAATAGACAGAAGGATATGTATATGAATAATTCCATAACAAACAGTATTCATAGCTCAGGACAACATGAGGAATATTTCAGTCAACAGAATATAATGCCTTAATATAATACATATAGACATTAGAATACATAGCCCGGCACCGAGTCTGAAATATGAAATATAAAGTATATAAAGCATAAACTATAATGTACATAATGTGCAAACAAAGAAAATAAATAAAGAAAAGAACCAAAATTCAGTACATATATTCTAAAAGCTATTTTAATCTCATTTAAAACTCACTATTGATGCCAAATTATCTTATAATTAATGCAATGATTAAATAAAGTGAATATAAAATCTTATTAGAAAAAAGGAAAGGGATCAAAAATCCTCACAGATAACATCCAAAACCACCTTATTTAAAAAGTAATAAATAAATTATTTATTTATTTTTTATTATTTTAAAGAGTATTATTTTACTCCAATAAGTTCTATATAAATGTAAGATTCACCAAATCCATTATGTATTTTACATTACTATGAAATCGCTACTCTTAATATATTATAGCGGATTATATTCCTGTTTTTTATCAAATCTGATCATACTTTACTTAATATTATCTTTTAACAATAACTGGTTTACTTTTATTCTAGACTTTATATAAAACAATAATAATTGATTTTAACATATACATGAGTTGAGATAGTTTTAAAAATAAAACCCAAGTCCCTGTATATATGCCATGTAAAAAACAAAACTTTGTTCTTTTATATGCATGTGCTGTACATATTCACAATGTGATTAAAAATTTGATAAGGCATTAAGCGTATATATATACTCCATTCGGAGGTGCTCCTACTTAAAAGGAGGCTATTACACAGAAGAAGAAAATAAATTTTCGCGCGAAATATATAAGCCGTACTGGCAACAGGTGAAAATTCAAAATTAAAATTCCTTCTACAAAAATTCTCTTGTTCCCCTTGCGAAAATCAAATGATCGTCCCCATAAATGTCTTTTTGATTCTTGAATTTGGCGCGAACTAAACTTCCCGGTTAACTTCGCAGATCACATGATCAGTAGCCATTTTGGAAATACGGGAAGTACGAGTAATGCAACTTGTTTTGCCGTGAATCACCGTTAAACAGTGACTAAAATGGGTACAAAGTGCAATTTTACATGTTTACAATACCTCTGTTATCAACTGTTTATATGCATTATCAATTTCGCACATTTAGATATCCAAATGTTCTTGTATATCTGTTTGTCAACAAAGTTGACAGTCTGATTCACCGTTCTGACATGCATTTTATGTCCCTCTATAAAACGATAAAAAAAACATATAGAAAGCGTTTACAGTCTTGAAAAATAATTCATCTTTCACATTTGACATGTTTTGTGCACAGTACCACATGTTCTTGGTCTATGTGCCCCCCTTTTTCTCTGTGACCATATTTACAATGAAATTTCAGCTAATTTCCTTTAATGGCTTTATTTGATATAATTTTAGGATTTCCTTGCTATCACCAACATGATCTTACATTGTGGGCATTTTATATTTGAAGCCCCAATAGAAAAATTTCGCGAGTCTTGTATTTTTTTCTCTTTTTTTTTTTTTACATTTCAATCTAGGCTTCCTAGACATGCTAGACAGTGTCAGTGAAGTTCATCAAAACAAAAGTCAGACAAACAGCAATGCTTCATCTGTTAGACTAGACAAAACAGTTATGACATCTTGAAAGGCTGTTTTTATTTTTTTTTGCAGTGACACCTTTGTATGACATTATAACGCCAAAGCAAATTTTTTTCCGCTGGACTAGGAGAGGAGATTTTCCTTTCAACTTTCAGACCCAATTTTGCCGTGAAATCTTCACTGACTGCTAGAAATTTTTACATATATATAAAAATTTTCACCTTTTGTGTGCTTGCATGTTGGTGCAATATATTTCCTAAAATATCCAAAAGTAGTGATACAATTTAGGATGATGATGACCTTCATCTTTTTTCAAATGGTTACCATGGTTACACAGATTTTCTAAGATTCTTCACTTTCTAAAAGAATAAATAGATCTATAAACCGAACTACGTAAAATTTGACAGTCCACCATTTCAAGATAATTTAAGATGTTTGAAGGCACGCCATGACTAGTTACATAATGCAATATAGGTTTCATAAAATTAACTTAATTAGAATTTGTTCAGCTCTTTTTCATCCTTGCTGAAGATAATAAAATAAATGTGAGGATTTATAGGAATCCTTTTCCGTGACAAATTTTCAAGAGCTTATTTCAATGCCTTTTTGTAAGAATGAATGAAAAAAGAATTAAGAATTAATGCCTTTGATTTGGCTTTATTTGAAACAACAGTTTGTCTTAAATAAAGGGCCATATATATTCTATTTAATTCTTTTTCATATTGTTCAAATCATACCCATATCTGTCAACTGACCTGTATTCTGTGGGTTACACCCGTGAATTTCCCCTTTCACACAGGATTTTTTAAACACCCGCCGGATATTCAAATAACTCAGTATTTCAGAAAATGACCCTTTTTCACCTGTATTTCTGACAGGTATTGTTTCTGGTATTAAGATAAACAATTGAAAAGTCAAAACCTAGGATTTGCTTATCTGTGCCAATGACGGCTATCAAAACATTGCATTTGATTAAAAAGTAACAATTTAAGAATTTTCTCGTTAATTGTACCCAAAAAAGTTTAAACCAGACAAGCTTGAAATTCAATTCTATGTCCTGATTAAAAGATTTGCCTTTTGCAAATATCAACTATCCTGTAAAAATCATTTTGAAACAATTTGAACCTTTTCATACATTTCTGTTGGAGTAAATCATTTTAATATCACAAGTGTTTAAGCTTTAAATTAAATCCATATGCTCTAAAGGAAACACACTGACTTCTTTCTATTTATCTTTCTCCAGTCCTGTGTATAGGAGCACATTAGCTATAATTGATTTCTAATTACATGTATAGCTCGGGTTTATGGCATTCATTAATAAAAATAGTATGAATAAAACACTAAGAGGGCATTGCTTTAGAAAGATATTTGATAAATGATAAATATTAATATAATTAACTAATACAAAAGTGAATATTAGTAGGAAACTCAGTCATTTGTCAGTGGTAGTATGTAAAAAAAAAAAAAAAACCGAAAAAAGCAAAAGAAAAAAAACATGTTATGACCTGACACTTTCTACTGTTTGTATCTATCAAGTCATGCATATTTAAAAATAGCTACATTGTATATAGGCGTGTAAAAAATGTATCACAGACAAACACAATAATTTAAACATTACTTTGACTTTGGCTGCAAAATATTGGATCACACATTTTTTTTAACTGGATGCTTTGACTTGTGGGTTGCTAATATTTGCTTTCCAATTGCATAATTGTTGACCTTGTCCAATGGCACATTTCTGGAAGCCTTATAATGTCTTTGTAGTTTTACAATTGATTGTATTGTGGAGTATGACTATCTCTTTGTTGTTTTACAGTGGAATGCATTGTGGTTTTACAGTGGAATGCATTGTGGAGTATGACTATCTCTTTGTTGTTTTACAGTGGAATGTATTGTGGAGTATGACTATCTCTTTGTTGTTTTACAGTGGAATGTATTGTGGAGTATGACTATCTCTTTGTTGTTTTACAGTGGATTGTATTGTGGAGTATGACTATCTCTTTGTTGTTTTACAGTGGAATGTATTGTGGAGTATGACTATCTCTTTGTTGTTTTACAGTGGAATGCATTGTGGAGTATGACTATCTCTTTGTTGTTTTACAGTGGAATGTATTGTGGAGTATGACTATCTCTTTGTTGTTTTACAGTGGAATGCATTGTGGAGTATGACTATCTCTTTGTTGTTTTACAGTGGAATGTATTGTGGAGTATGACTATCTCTTTGTTGTTTTACAGTGGAATGTATTGTGGAGTATGACTATCTCTTTGTTGTTTTACAGTGGATTGTATTGTGGAGTATGACTATCTCTTTGTTGTTTTACAGTGGAATGTATTGTGGAGTATGACTATCTCTTTGTTGTTTTACAGTGGAATGCATTGTGGAGTATGACTATCTCTTTGTTGTTTTACAGTGGAATGCATTGTGGAGTATGACTATGAAGCAGAGCAACCAGATGAACTAAGCATTAAAGCCGGTCAAATTATAAAAAATGTATTAACAGAAGATGGAGGATGGTGGGAAGGAGAACTTGATGGAAAGAAAGGGATGTTCCCAGATAATTTTGTAAAGGTAATGTTTAAATGTAGGACAGAAAGTTTGAGAAATTCATTAAGATAGTAAGCTATTTTTTATAAGTTTTTATATTCCTGTAGAAGAAAACCAGATTTATTTTGAAAACTTATACATCATTTATGTTGTTTAATCTCATACTACACAAGTACAATGTAGGATAGATGGAATTAACTGATTTGACAAAGTTGTCTTCACTTCTGTTTTAGATAATTGAAAAGAAAGATAAACCAGTTGAGAAACGTGAAGAACCCAAAAGAGATTTGAAGACCCAGCAGAGAACATCTGTCAGAGATTTAGCCAGCAAGATCAAAGATGGCATACCTGTTGGTGGTTCACAGAAGAAAAAAGGTTGATAATTGGGTCATATCCAGTTGCAATAATCTGTTAAAATTGCGAGCAAACATACAGCAGCCTATAAAATCATAATAAATAGAGAAAAAATTCACATACTTTCAATATATCACACTATAAAGTCAGCTTAATTTAGCTATGTTTTATCTGTATTTTGAAATCAGTTTCATTCAGGGCAGTTTACCAAACATGATGATTGTGTGCCATAATGAACACCAAATATAGTTGTCAATGTTTATTTGGCCATAATGAACACCAAATATAGTTGTCAATGTTTATATGGCCATATTGAACACCAAATATAGTTGTCAATGTTTATTTGGCCATAACGAACACCAAATATAGTTGTCAATGTTTATTTGGCCATAATGAACACCAAATATAGTTGTCAATGTTTATTTGGCCTTAATGAACACCAAATATAGTTGTCAATGTTTATATGGCCATAATGAACACCAAATATAGTTGTAAATCCTAATTCAACTATTTAAAGTCATAAACTTGTTAACTTTGGTGCTCAGGTGGCATACAAAATCACTGTTTAGTCATGGTGGTCAATATACAACAGTTAATATTCCAGATATGTATCAAAATAACCTTAGTGATCTTTTTATCAACCATTTTACTATGTAGGTATATAGATCTATTCATTCAAAGTAATAATAGTTGATAGGTAAAAGGAGTTGTTGGTTAAAATTTAAATGCCAATGAAACAACAGACAAACACAAAAGTAAGCTAAAAATAGACAAGCTATATAGAATTTACCATATGGTTTTCATCAATGAATAGTACCTGAACTGCTTGACAAGATCTATGTTGCCTCAAATATACTTACTTACTGGTAAAAGAATTCAAGCCTCTTGTTATTACATATGTTTGGAGCTAACATGGCACCAACAACAAGGTAACAGTCTTCACAAAAGCAGTAAATAAAACATTTATAATTAGCATTTGTAACTATAAACATACCTGATATTAGAAATAATAAGTATAAAAATAAGGTCCACACTATATTGAATTGACTTGAATTCAGTAAAGGCCTTCCAAAAAAAAAAAAAATTCTTGTTTCAGATGACATAAAATTGAGTGTTAGTAACTGTTTACTAAACTTATAATTTTTTTGAAATACTAAAGATTTTCTTCCCCAGGAATAGATTACCTGAGCTGCATTTGGCAAAACATTTCGGAATTTGGGGTCCTTAATGAACTTCATACTTTATTTGGCCTTTTAAACTTGTTTGATTTGAGCATCACTGACTGCCATACAAATTTTATTCCTGATATCTATGATGTGTTTATTTGGAAGGCAGTTTGTTTCAGCACCAGCCACCCATACAATTGTAATTGAGAATCATAGTGCATTACAGTGTGAAAAGTTGCTCTGTTACCCATCACCCATGTATTATTAATATAAAGTGCCTTCCAACCCCCCTTACATTTTTTTCTGGAATAGCCCTTATGGTGGAACCAAACACCTGGACTAAAATTAATTTGGTTCGTTTAATTTTCATAAAATTTTGACAAAATATTTACTTTGACCCTTTGACAAAAAAATAAAATTTTTTAAAAACTTGAACCACACACTCTGTCGGAAAATTTGACAAACACTGATTTTGATCATTGAGAAGCTTAGTATTTCCTTAACAATAGAACATGATTAAAACGTTCAGCTGATTTTTACAGAGGTATCTCCCTATAGTGTTATGTACCACCTTATGGTGAGATTTATCCAAGTTGATGATATCCATGCTTTATAACCTAAATCTGGATATATATGAAATGTAGCACAAACAAACAAAAAATTTGTACAATATCTATTTTTAGAATCTCATCAAGCAGTGATCAAAAGAGCCAAAGTTTTATATTCTTATGAGCCTGACAACGAAGATGAATTAAAGTTAGACATAGATGATGTTGTTGATGTTTTTAAACAGGTTTGTATTTATAAAGCAAAAGGCTAATCAGAATTTCCATATTTGGCTAATGACTTTGTCACCTTTCCTCAACATTAACATGTATCAACTCTTAATTACCTTCAAACTTTTAGAATGTTTGTATTATAAATCGAAGATGTAAACCTCGCTTAAGTTGGAGAATTTTTCTGATTTACTAGATGGTAAAACTGATTGATTTTCAGCTACATTCTATCTTTTTGGAAAATTCTTTCATCACTGAGCCATCAAACTTTATAAAATATTTGTATAAATAACATTTACTTTTTAACCAGGTTTCTGAAGGAAATTAAAGTGGTGAACTTTGGTGTTGTATCTTTAAGGACAAATGATCCTTGATTGATTGGTAAATAGGCACAGAACATGGCAGGTCACACGAGACTGAAAGTTTCATACATTAGAATACATCAATTTCATTCGTACTAGCTGTCCCGTTATATTCAACAATGAATGCCTTAAAAATACAGAAAATCCATTTTGCTGTCAATTTGACAGCCCATTACTTGTTTAAATACTGAAAATGACAAAGATTTCACTGATTCAAAGTTTTTCTGGGCATTCTGGGCAATACTGACTTTAAAGGTCTCTTTATCCAAGAAAAGACTTCCATATAATGAGTGAAAGAAAAAGTTGGTACAAAGTGAGGCAGTGGCTCACATCTACTACCAACAAAAATAGAATCCATCCTTGACCTTTTATTAGTTTGCAGGAAGAAGAGGGCTGGTGTGGAAAGGCTCACTACATGGTAAAGTTTGTGTTTTTCCATCCATTAACCTGTAACCTTTAATTAGTTTACAGGAAGAAGAGGGCTGGTGTGGAAAGGCTCACTACATGGTAAAGGTTGTGTTTTTCCATCCATTAACCTGTAACCTTTAATTATTTTTCAGGAAGAAGAGGGCTGGTGGGAAGGCTCACTACATGGTAAAGTTGGTGTTTTTCCATCCAACTTTGTACAAGTTATTGAAGAAATAGAACCGACAGCTAGAGCAGAAAACATTCCAGGTATATTGCAATAACTTTGGACTATACACTTCTTGTTGGTTAAGGGGTAGAATTTCTACTGATATACAGGGTTCACACACTTCCAGAAAAAGACAAAATTTGGTAATTCTGGAAAAATAATATGTCAAAAACCAAGAATAAAATTGGGAATCTTGTTGAATGTTAATATGTAAATGTCATTTGAAACGGGGTTCCCTAAACTTTGATGTTCCAATTTCTAAACTGACCAGAAAATCTTTAAGACAACTAGTTTCTTTTTGTGTTTTAAGTAATCAGGTTCTGGAATTGGTACCTAGTGAATGTTTATTTGATCATTCATGTTACAGTTTTTTTAGGTTCAATATGGTTAGAGAAAGTTTTTCCCTGTTCTGAAATTGTAAACCTATTTATATGAAATAAGGAGATATGGTATGTGTTCTTTTTATGTCCCCATACAATAGAAGAGGGTATAATGTTATTGGATCTGTGCATCTGTTAGTCTGTTGGTCTAGTATTAGGTTACATTTTTGGTTAAAGTAGTTTGTGGTCACATCAACATGAAACTTAGTACACATGTTCATTATGAAGTGGGTTGTTTAATATATGTGCCAAATTAGGGTTTTTGTCTCGCCTGCAACGAAAGTCACAGTATGTGAGACATAGGTATTACAATCCGGCGACTGTGTAATCTATTTGTATAAAGCTTTATATTTCAGAAGGTAGGAGACCTGGATGCTTCATACCTTGTGTGCATATACCTTATGTTACGAAGATTCTGACGGTCATATGTCCATTGTCCTTGACCACATTTTCATGGTTCAGTGACCATGGTGACCGTTTGAAAAAACAAAAAACGTTTTTTTGTTAAGTGAAATACTCACTTATTATAAGTAAAGGATAACTATATTTAGTATATGGGTTTCTTGCAATGCCTACATGTCTGTCAGGTAGGGTTCACCTGACCTCAACCTCATTCCATGGATCAGTGATCAAGGTTAAAGTTATGTGGTCAAGTCAGTATCTCAGATACTATAAGCAATAGGACAACTATATTTGGTGTATGGAATGACTGTAAGGTGTACATGTCAGACTGGCAGGTTTTATATGACCTTGACCTCAATTTCATGGTTCATTGGACAATGTTTAGTTTTTGTGGTTTGGTCTATTTCTCAGATACTATAAGCAATAGGGCTGCTTTATTTGGTATATGGAATAATTATTAGGTGTTCATGTCCGTCTGGCAGTTTCATCTGACCTTGACCCCATTTTCATGGTTCATTGGACAATGTTTAGTTTTTTGTGGTTTGGTCTATTTCTCAGATATTATAAGTAATAAGTCAATTATATTTAGTGTATGGAACAATTGTAAGATGTGCATGTCTGTCTGGCAGGGCCCATATGACCTTGGCCTCATTTTTATTGTTCATTGGTCAATGATTAGTTTATGTAATTTTGTCAGCTTATCAGATACTATAAGCAATAGGTCAACTATTTTTGGTGTATGGAATGATTGTAAGGTGTACATGTCTGTCTGATGGGGTTCATATGACCTTGACCTCATGTCATGGTTCATTGGTCAATGTTAAGATTTTTTGTTTTGATCTGTTTCTCAGGTACTATTGGCGATAGGACCACTATATTTGGTGTATGGAATGATTGTAAGGTGTACATATCTGTCTGGCATGGTTCATCTGACCATGGCCTCATTTTCATAGTTAATGTGATACTTGTAGTAAAACCTTCATATAACATACTTTTAACATGAATTCAATGATAATTAAAACAGGCAAGGTATTTCAGCGTGTGCACTCTTGTTACCCATAAATATAGAAATGTGATAGTTTGAGCAGAGCATTGTGTCCTATTTACATACTCTTGTTTTGCCTTTTGTATTTAATTTGATTATGTTTCTATTAAATAAACCTGATAATAATAAACCAACATTTACCACCCATTTTCATGATGGGTATTTTACTAGTAACACACAACCAAAAATGTTTAGCCTTTTTAGTTGGTCTTTTTTTTTTTTTTTTTTTAATTTTCTAGTTAAATTCTTATCATATGCTCTTTGTTATAAGCATAAGCTGGAACTTTAAATATTAAAAACTACAAACTTATTTAAATTTAAATGACAAAGAAGAATGGGGTTATCCAGAAACATTCATTTTAATTTTCAGAGGAAAAGCCAAAAGACCCACCACAAGCAGAACCAAAGACAAAGAAAATTGTAGGTGGTGTTGGTTTGGGTAATATATTTGATGGAGGACCTATCAAACTGAGGTCAGCAACAAGATCTAAAATACCACCACCAGAACAGGTAAAACTGCTTGCCCCCAAATAGCAGGGATATTATATAGATATATAAAAATAAGGAGATGTGGTATGATTAATTGCCAATGAGAACCAGTGACCGAAGAACAAGTGTTTAGAAATGGCCTACTTACATGTATATACAAAAAAGAGGTGTGGATTATACATGTACATCAATGAGACACAACCGTCAACACAAAACTTACCAACATCTAAAGGTCAACATACGACCTTCAGCAACAGACAGGTGCCTGTGCAGTTTGTCAAGCTCTAAACTGGCTCAAGTCGAAAATAAATACGGCAATAAATTTAAACTGTCACCGATCCGGGTTTTAACACCAAACTCTCTTGTATGACAGTCAAGGTTCTATTGCTTAAATCTTTCCACTCAAAACAAACACATTACAGGTACAAAGATATGGAGTCATTTTTGATGTCATCAATTTACAATTCACTATTATGTATGGCTGCAACTGTTACTAAATTTAGTATTTTGACAAATAATTTTAAGAATTTTTATTTATTAACCATGCAAAGGAAGAACACAGAAGTTTTCCGAAGTGGAAAAATTTTGAATAACAGCTGTTGATAACCCCAAGCAACATTAAACATATTACTTACATTAGGAATATGTGGAATAAGCAGGATAACACAAACCATTGCACTTTTCATTTAATAGGCCTGCTTAGACAATACTTTGGTTGAACATAATATCGTTATTGCTGTTAAACACAATGTTAATGTTCTGTTTGGATTGATTAGTTTAACTTCCAGTGGCAAATATTTCATGCATGTCTAGCACAATGTTCTGCTTGGAGGCAAGAACAATAACACAGTCAATAAACCTTCAGTTTTTGTTGTTGATGAAAGCTTTAGTAGAAAATAATGTCATTGTTTATGTTATTGTAGGAGACGAAGCCAGAAGAACCAAGTCATCATCCAATAAGTGTGCCAAAGAAAGAAAAACACGGTAAATACATTTTAATTATACACACATTTGTATTTTGATCTATAGGAGTGATGAAAAAGTACTAATAGAATTGATGAGGAGTCTGGAATTGGTTCTTAGTTAAGATAAGAAACATTTTAAATAAAAGCTTTTCTGAAATAACAGAATGCAGGCAAATTTCGTTTTCTAAATGATCCAGAACTGGTATAGACCTGTATTTGATAAATATTGGACTTGAATTAATTTGTATATTTGAAAGTTTCTGTAATGAAGCAACTCATAATCAAAAGGAAAACTTAAGTAAAATTATGGTTGTTATTGGAAAATTTGGTCTAAGCTGGGCCATGAAAGGGTGATCCTTTCTTCTCATTCTGGAAATATCATTTCTTACCACTTTTTTTTTTCTCTGTTATGTTATGTTTGAAGTGTAAAAAGGGCAAAATTGTGTTATTCCTGTGTTAAATTATCTACTCAGCTAACTATAGTGATGGTTGTTTTGTATATTTTAACATTTTGATTTTATAATAGACAAAAAAAACTCTTACTTAGCCATAGTGTTTAATTAAAACTTTTGGTATATATATATATATATATATATAGAGTTTCTTCCAAGTTATTATATAATAGCTTTAATTTATGTATACAACCAAAAAATATACCCCTGTATCCTGCCTCCTGGCAGAAAACAATAGGGTAGGTAGGTAGGTAAAAAAAATTCATTATTGAAAATATTTTATAAAGACTATATAGGGAAATGTTCAGAACTGTGCTTAATTGAAATGTGTGGACTTTTAACAGTGTTTAACCAAAAATGTCTATAATGTGTGGCAGGAAACAGAACTATATGTTTTGGCCTTATTTGCTTGAGTTTGCTTGCAATCTTAGTAACTATATACATTATATCAAGGTGTTTGTCATTAACCATAGATAAATATTTGTTTACTTTGACAGACCAACCCCCAGCAGAGCAAGCCACACCCCTGTATACAGATCAGAGATCACCAAGTCTTTTCTCTGATATTTCTGGCAGTTTTTTTCATACAGTTTATGACTCTGAAACTGAATTAGATATTTTGCCAGAAACTAGAGTATCTATTCAGGACCTGAACATGCTTCAGTATTCTGAAATCTTGTCAAAAAAATCTATTGTAAATTCAGATATTAATGTATGTGTTGTTGATGTACATAATTCATATCTAGGGGAGACAACTTCTAAATTACATCCAGAATTGGAGTCTGTTTTGAAGATTTCCAAAATTCCTGAGTTTCCTGAAGAAGAAGAGTATCTGATAGAATATGCTGATATAGAACCCGAAAAAGGAAAGAGGAGAAATTATCCTAATGTTGGATCATTTAAACTGTCTGATTTCTTATCAAGGAGTAGTATGACTAATGCTAACAGTAACAACTCTAAAAGTCTGCATCAGAAAACAGTGAAAGAAAAGACATCATCCTTGCATAACAATTGGACTGTTCCAGATATTGAATCAATGAAATCGTCCCAAGTAAAGGTAACAAAGGTCAAAAAGAAAAAGGGTCTTCTGCCTAAAGTTAGTTTGAATCTTTTTAGCAAGAAAACCAAGTCTACTAAGGATAGAACTGTAGCCTTTAGTAATAAGATTTCACCGATACCAAGTACTACAGACACAACAGAAATGGAAGAGAAAAACAAACTGGAGGAAGAATTAGGGAATTTGACTTTCGGTCATAGGAGTATAGAGGGTTACACTGTGGATGATTTCACTACAAAGGAGACACAGAAATATCACACTAATGAGAGCTACCCTCAATCACAGTCAACAAAAAATATCTTCAGTAATCTTAGTGTGGAAGATTTAGCAGTGGACGGGGAAATTGACAGAGAAAGAAAGCGTTCTCATTTCAGAAAAGTAGCTGAAGTTCACCAGTCTGCTCCTAATATCAAATACCATCAATCGTTAAGAACTGACAGACTTGAGCCTAAAGATGTTGACAACAAACAAATTCTTAAAGAGAATTACTTGGCTACCTTAAACGATTCTGGACATTTATCTCCCTTTATGAAAGTCATTGCCAACAAGTATAAACTTTTCGATGTAAAAGACCCAAGTCAAAATGAGAGTTTAGGACACAGATGTTTAACCTTACCGCGGGACATGAAGTTTTACAATAACTCTGTTGACAGTGAGGTTGACCTAGTATTTGATGAAAGTCCTTATGTTTCCATGCTATCGAGGAAGTTTTCACCAGGGGGAGACGAATCTGATCAGTCATCACGTAAAAGGAAATCACCACTATCAAAGTCTGCATCAGTGGCAAAGAAACGTTCAGCTACTGGTGATAGTCTTGGTAGTCCTTGTAACAAAGTCTTGTTAATGACTGAAAGAGAGTTCATTAGTGATTATGTGGATAATGTACTGGATGATGTTGTTGAGGAATTAAAAGATGAAGGTTTGGGAAAATCGAAAGACACTAATGATATGTTTTGTCACCACAAGGAAGAATTTGAAAGGATTCGAGCTCGATTTGAATCAGGAGTGGGAGAAGAAGCTGTTGGTGGAATTTCACCTTTTATCGTTCCAACTTTGGCAATGTTATGTTTAGATGTGTTGGATGATTGGGAAAAGCGATTCATCAAGCAGTGGAAGAAAAAGTATGACATCTCATCCTACACTCCTCCCAGACAGGAAACAAGCTTATTTATTGATCCTGACAAATCCAGTAATTTTTCATGTCCTTCTACAGCTGCCACCAGAAGTGATGTTTATGAACCATACTGTGATAGTAAACTGAGTCTTACTGGGGATAGTCTGTCTGAGACTTCATTCAGTAGAGGTATAGATAGTTATTCATTAGATATGTCAGTAAACGAGTCATTTAAGCAGACAGGACCATGGGTGTCACCAGCCGCAGTCAGGAGAGATCTAACAATCTACCCAAAGCAGTTTACATTAAAAGAAGGCCAAAATGTATCCATGATGTCAAATTGTTCCAACCAGTCAACTCAAACCCCAGGTTTTGATAGATCACATAATGATTTGATAAACATCTCTGTCAATCAGAGGCTAGTACAAACAAGAAACGTCAGTACGTCACCAATCCAAGAACTTCTAATGGCTGATCTAAGTATTGAAGAAAATAAAAGTAACAACTCTTCAGATTATTGTGAAGGCTCTCCTTGTGTGACATCAAAACCTCGATACTCAAGTTCTCCCATTGACCACATTCCAAACTTGGATTTGAGTTCTGAGAAAGAGGAAAGTGACAATCTACAAGAGCAATTACAGTGTGATGTCAGAAAATCAGAAACCATTGACAGAGAAAAGAGTTGCACAACAATTCAAGGTGGTCACAATTCTAGTAGAGTGCAAAGGTCAAGAACTTTGAATTATTTATCAGATTTGGCACAAAGCTTGGCAGAGACGAGGAGAAAAAGATTTGCATTCAAACATTTGTTTCTTGGACATGAACAGAATCCAGTTAAACTATTGTCATTTGAAAAATTGTCAGATAGTGCAACAAGAGCCAGTAAAACTAGGGAACCAGTAAAGACTTGTGATAAATCATTGGATGGTGTTAAAAAGACTCCCATGGGCAGAGAGAAGACAAATAAGTCATTGGGTACAAACAGAAGTCCTGCTAAGAAACTTAAACAAATCAGTAACATGAAATCATGCTTTCCATTTGAAGATTTCAGCACAAATGATACATATTTCAACAGAATTTTGGATGAGGACAAGGAAGAAAGTGGTAATGGTAGTCCTCCAAAAAAATTTAATCACTTTGGAAAATTTACGGTGTCCTATGAAAACCAAAAACCACAGTTTGATTTTCAGGAACTCAAATCCAAGGAAAGAAAATTTGAATTTTGTAGCAAGTATGCAAATTTAATCAGTTGTCATGGTGATAAGAATTGTTCTGCCAACATTGAAAGGTTTTCTAACAAGGAAGAACACCTAGATCGACAGACTGAAATCCAACCAAGGTTATACACAAAAGAGTATGTAGAACCTGTACAATTGTTAGACAATTCTACCGAGTCCGATGGTCCCTTTGTCAGGATTGATAAACAAGGTAATTACGTGATATACGACTACCCTGAGGATCCTGTTCCAACTGATGACGACATGAACCATGATTTTATAAAGGACGACAGCGAGGATTTGATAGACGATGAGTTGTCACCTGATTCGCTCAGTTTTTTGTCAAGTTTAACACGAGAAATGAAACAGCTTGATTTTACTGACACTCCCAAAGCAGACGACAATGGCTGCAACTTGAATGCATTTCTACAAGAAGCATTAAAACCGTTGGACGAGTTATTATCTGATGAGTCTAGTGTAGAGGATGTGTCTGTCTGTCATATGTCACCCACAGGATGGCATTGTACACCTGATTTTCCCAGTTTTGTATCGTTCAGAGAGAATGAGGAGTCTTTTGGGTCTGATACTAATGATGATTATCCAGAACCAGATCATGTTTCTATGTTATTTGTTACAGATTCACCCGATAATTATCCCGAACCAGATTATTTTTCTAAGTATGAGACTTTGAAAGTCAAAAAATCTGTTACAAATGAAGATTTAATACAGGAAGTTTTAGAAGATGATAGAGAAAATTGTAAAACTCAAGATAATTCTGAAACTTTAGATAATGAGCAGAAAGGTACTTGGTGTAAGGAGACTCTAGATGATTGGTTGAATTACAATCAGGTTGTCTCGGAGTATATGGCCCCTGATAGAAAGGAAAGGTATCCAACCTTTACATTTGTCACACCTCACAAAACACAGCATTCAGAGAGGGGAGATTATCAAGTGGAGTCTGAGGAAAGAATATGGGCAAATGATCAGAAGGAAACACCATTTTCTACACCAGGACCTCACATTTATTCTACACCAGGACCTTACATTTATTCTACACCAGGACCTTACATTTATCGCAGCCCAGAACCTAACACTTGTGACAACACATTTGTATCTGTTTCTGACATGTCGTTTAATGATTCACGTGGTTGTACTCCGTACTTTACCGATGATCCCGAT